GCCTCGGGCTGGGCCTAGATTCATCCCTGGCAGTGAGATCTTAAATACTCAAAGAGGCAGGACTAAAAATCCACATCCTCATTGTTTGGCTTTCAGCTTATAAGCTGTTATCATTTTTTTTGAATTATAAATCATAATTTTGGAGTTGATTTTGAAATTTTTACATCATAATTTATTTTTACAATTAGCTTTTAAATCTCAAATAACATATATAAAAGTTTACATTAGAGTTAGTATCAACGATAATGACTGCACTTGAATTTTCTTTCTTCTTACAAAGTGTGAGAAAGCAGTTGGCATCACGAGCAAAGGAGAGAATGGAAGTAAGTGTAAAGGAAACTAGATGATACCCCGCGCGTTGCTGCGGGAATTTGTAGCTATAATTTGTGTAAGACCTAAAACATATTAGCAAGCACAATAAAAATATTAAATAACATATAGTAACTTGTAGACGATCCATTATAAAAAAGAAAGGCTTTAGACGATCAATGTTGATTGAACTGTGAGAAATTATAGATGCTATCACACAGCAAAAGAGAACATATGAAAACTGTCTAATGTTGTAACGTAGCGATCTGCTATTAATTTGTCTTCAATTAGTGATAACCACTTGACGTGGAGTACTCCTTTTTTATGTATGCGATGCTGCAAATGTGACTCAATGGTAGATTGCCGATGTCTTCGATCGGTCATGTGGTGTTGATAGATACAGTTGTTTAATTGTAGCCATATATCTACTTTAGATCTCTGTAATGAAATTAATAGAAGAAAGAAAATCATCTTGTCCTGAAGGAAACAGTTTTAGATATTGGCCATATTGTAAAGTAGGGAAGATATGATAGTGTTGTGAAAAAAAAAAGAATGGAAAATGTTGTCATTCGAAAGAGATATGTAAAGATAAATTTGTTTATCAATGATAAGAGATAACCTGCTTGTTGTAGGTGATCCATGTGATGGCCAATGGTAGGAGAAATTGAGCAGGGAAGATGGAAATAAGCTCCCAGTGATACTGTCAGTCATTTATTTGATGAGAAACCAGTGCCTTGCTTCATTGTAAAGATAGCAAAAAAAAAAAAGTCTATATTGAAGCAGTGCAAATAAGAAAATATAACAATACTAAGGGTGTTACATTCCGAAGGTAAGAATGAGCTTAATCATATCTCTAGTATTTTTGTTCACCTTGCTTGGCCTGATTGTCGACTATCACCACTAACTTATTCCTGTACGTGTAAATGAGAGGGGTAGAAGCAAATTTAATAGAACTAGAACAATGGGTACCTAAAACTTGCAATCAGCTAGGAAGAACAATACAAGATGCAACGGAAGGAGGTTGATTTAATTAACACTATGATGAAAAATTGGTCTGTAATGTTATACACAACTACAGACAATGGATAAAAACTAAACATTTGACTGGAAAACTGAAGCCTGAAGGAGCCATAGCAGTGATTTGGAGGATGCATACTCACCTGATCTGTGATTGTTGATTTGTTGGTGGATTGAACTGTGGCGATCACGACAGAGATGTGAGCTGTGATAACAATGCCGTGGTGCGTATGGTACCCCTAGATGGAGAAAGCAATATTAATAGACGAATCGTAGAAGGATAACGAAGAGGATCAGTTGGATTAGCCATGGCCTCTCACCTTCACCTTAATGGTGACTCTTGTGAGAAATTACTACTGCTAGACGGCTTTTAGGACGGACAGATTAGCTTTCAGATTAGGCACTACAGGAGGAATTCATGACGCCATATATCATCTTTATCGCAAGAACGCAATCGGGAGGCGGCGTCCCTGCCCAGGGAGCGTGGAAACGATCTAGAATAGAGGATTGTACTTACTAAAGGCTGTATTAATCGGATGAGTTGGGCTAGGCCTGCCCTTGATTTGGCCCATTAGATGAAGACGTGGGGGCTTCCTGCCGTTCCTAGTTTCTAGTATTGCCTAGACAGCTTACCTGCCACCGGATGGAGATCGAACGTCTAAGAACACTTAGGATGACGTGGAAACACGAGAAGGCTGCAAAATCCTATTAACTACACTAAGTAAGGATCAATTGTATAGATATATAGGATAAGAATGGAAGTGTAAGAATAATGAGCGTTCTATTTTAGTCCTTTTTTATTTTCAAAAGGCATCTTATTAAAAAAATGGTCTTTACATATAGGCCATGATGGAACGACAACAAGCGGCTGATATGGTCGTGGTCATGCATGATGCCGCTCCCTTCATCTAAAAAAACAAATATAGTATGGGATATGATGTTTATTTTAATATAGAGGGAGTATACCTAAGCGTTTGCGCCTATGTAGTTGTGTCATGCTAGCCTTGAGGTGCAGTGAATTATGGGTACAATACTCGTTCCTAGCCAGCTTGCATGTGGTGGCAGAGCAGTCGGTGTTTGATCGCCGTTTTCCGGTGCTGGTAGAGGTGTAAGGTTGGTCATTCGAAGATTGGTGAGGTACCGCATTGTTGGTTATTCTGGCTGCGGTTGATGGCTAAGACATGATATAGGAGGCGATCCCTAGCAGGATTCTGATACGTGGCTAACCACACGCCTGCACCAACCGCCTCCCAACCTATACGTATATAAACATGCAAGTATATTTGTTTATATATGTATAAACTTTGTACATATAAAGTTTATACTTTATATGTATAAATTATGTATATACACTTATAAAAATATTTATATATGTATAAACATGTGTATATGATTTGAATGTAAAAAAAATACATATACATATCAACTTTGTATATATATATGTATACATACCAACTTCTTGTACACATATCTACTACTACTTAAAAAATAAGAGGTGCTTCCATCGTCCGTCAAAAAAACCGGGTGAAAAAAAACCGGGCAGAAAAAACCAAGTTTGTCCGATCAAAAAAACCGGACGAAAAAAAAGTCCGATCCAAAAAAAAGTGAAAAAAAAAACCGGGCGAAAAAAACACCCGTCCCTGGCAAAAAAACACCCGATCCCTTAAAAAGGGAAAAAAAAGTCCGAGAGACAAACCGTTTAATGAATAAAAAAAGCGAAAAAAAGAGTCTGATTCCCTGGAGAAAAAAATCTGATTTCCCTGGAAGAGATCCGATCTGTATTGGATTGGAGAAAAGAAAAAAAAAACACTTCTCTAGGTGCTTCTGTCGTCCGTCAAAAAACGGGAGAAAAAAACCGAGCGAAAAAAAAAAGAAAAGTCCGATAAAAAAACCTGGCGAAAAAAAACCGGGCGGAAAAAAAACAAATATGTCCGACAAAAAAAAAAGGAAAAAATACCGAAACGAATCCGACTACATCGACGCGGTAAAAAGAGTTTAAAAAAATAAAAAGAAAACTGTCCTATTCCAAAGAAAAATGAATTATATGTATCGTGGAGCAAAAAAAAAAAGAAAAGTCCGATAAAAAAACCTGGGCGGAAAAAAACCGGGTGGAAAAAAAACAAATCTGTCCGACAAAAAAGAAAGCAAAAAAAAGGAAAAAAATCGAAACGAATCCGACTACATCGACGCGGTAAAAAGAGTTTAAAAAAATAAAAAGAAAACTGTCCTATTCCAAAGAAAAAGGAATTATATATATCGTGGTAAAAAAATCGACCGGGCGAAAAAAGAAAAAAATAGTCCGATCCGAAAAAAACAGGAGAAAAAAAAATGGGCGAAAAAAAATTTGTCCGATAAAAGAAAAGGAAAAAGCTGAAAAGAATCTGACTCCATCGACGCGGTAAAAAAAGGCGAAAAAAACTTTCCGATAAAGAAAAAGGAATTATATGTGACGCGGTAAAAAAAATAAAAAAACCAGGCGAAAAAAAGATAAAAGTCCGATAAAAAAACGGGGCGAAAAAAAAACAAATCTGTCCTATCCAAAAAAAGCCAAAAAGGGGAAAAAATCAAAACGAATCCGACTCCGTCGACGTGGTGAAAACAGGGCGAAAAAATTCCAAAGTAAAGGGAGAAAAAAAATCAAAACGAATCCGACTCCGTCGACGCGGTAAAAAAAGGGCGAAAAAAATCCAAAGTAAAAGGAATTATATGTGACGCGGTAAAAAAAATCGATCGGGCGAAATAAACCGGGCAAAAAAAAATCTGTCCGATCCAAAAAAAGGGGAAAAAATCAAAACGATTCCGACTCCGTTGACGCGATAAAAAAGGGCGAAAAAATTGTCTGTTTCTAAAGAAAAAGGAATTATACGTGATGCGGTAAAAAAAATCGAATCCTATTATATCTAGAAAGGTTTGACACTATGTGAAAGTGGTGAAAAAAAACCCTTCGTAAAAGAAATGCACGAGAAAAAAAATTAAAAGGACGGAAAAAAGCGCGGAGGAAAAAAGTCAAATTTATATTCGTCGTTTTTTAATCCATTTATATATCTTCTTTATCTCTAATCTAATCTAATCTAACTATAAAAAGAGAAGTTTCTACGGTATATTAAAAAAGGAAAAAATGCGCGAGAAAATAAAAACGGTTTAAAAAAACACGTGAGGGAAAAATGTCAGAAAAAAGCACAAAAGAAAACGCGCTAGAAAATAAAGTTTCGTAGTTCTAATTTTCTGATTGTTATCGATATGGTTATGCATGAAAAACGTATATTATCATTACGTTTTTTCACCCGTTGCAACGCACGGGTATATTTGCTAGTATGTAAAAAAGTATAAAATTTGATGGGCCAGAACGCGATTGCGCATAGCATATGCGCCTTATCGCTAATTAGCAATTTTGGATGACGAGGCACGTTGCAATGGAGCCATTTCTTTTAAAAGTTTCTCTTAACTGAGTAAAGAAGTGAATAAATTAATGTAGCGCCATATTAATATATCTAGTGGATTCGAGTTAAACGGTGCATACTTTATATGTGGTCAATACTCAATACTAACTGATAATGCTAATCTAATCTAAGTAACTTAAAGTCCTGGATCAGCTAGCCCGTGATCAGCGGTCAGTCCAAGATCAAGTCTACTAGCACACAGTTGACTCAAAAAAAATTGCGCTTGCATGAATCTGAAAAGAAAAAAAATCTTCAAGTTCCAATTGTAGCTAGACTTCAAATTAAGGTTACATATATATCTTGTTTGGATAGATATAAATCCCACGTATACATTTGTCATTTTGTCTGTATACATCCTTTTGGTTGTAGAGCCCGGCCGGTTTTAATCAATTTCTAAGGAAGAATATAAATCTCACAATAGAAATAATACTAATATTGAACCAAGAACGGGTACACAAATACAAACTTCAAGCGTAGCCGCGTTAGGCTACTAATTAAACCGGATTGCTGATACTGTCGTCGACGGACGGTGCATTGCTTAGACCTGCTGCGGAGGAGGATGAGGAGGCCTCGGCGGGTACCCGGGAACAGCGTCCATCGGGATCCCGATCGGCGTGGGCTCGCCTCTCCCCGCCGCCGCGTCGGGCTGCGGGCGGAGCACGATGTAGGAGGTTAGCCCGAGCGCCGTGGCGATCAGGGCCAGCACCCCGGCGCCGGCGAAGAAGCCTTCCCTGACGATGAAGCACTCCGACGCCACGATCCCGGCGTCCAGGAACATCACGAACGCGATCACCGCCGCAATCCTGGTGCAAGAAACGAACGTACATGACGTACGTGATGTGAGATCATGGTGACGAGACGCGATCACGTGTCGTGTGCGCAGTGTGCGTGGTTAATTACATATGTGGATTATTTGATTAATTTGGCTAGATCGGCGACGACGAGTACTACTCACCATGAGATGACGGCGCAGACGACGCCGACGATCCGCTTGGTCTCGGACGGGATGGCGCGGGACTTGCAGCAGCCGCAGCAGCCGCCGACGGCCGTCACGGTGACCTGCGCCATCACCAGGAAGATGGCCGCGCATACGCCCAGCCCGAGCGCCGATGGGTTCGTCGACGAGTATAGGCAACTCTGCAAGACACATTCCCATCATGACATTGTCTGATCACTTAGATAGTACTCCCTCTATTTCAAAATGTTTGACACCGTTGACTTTTTAGCACATGTTTGATCGTTCGTCTTATTCAAAAACTTTTGTGAAATATATAAAATTATATGCCTACATAAAAATATATTTAATAATGAATCAAATGATAGGAAAAGAATTAATAATTACTTAAATTTTTTGAATAAGGCGAACGGTCAAACATGTTTTAAAATGTCAACGGCGTCAAACATTTTGAAACGGAGGGAGTAGTAAGATAAGATCCAGAACAAATTAAAGAAGAGGGAGAATTAATTCAAAGACGAGCAGAGTGTGCATGCATGCGTGCATTGCTAGCGCTTACAGTGAGCTTAGAGCCCTCGGCGGCGAACCCCAGGATGGCGCTCAGCAACCCCAGGGATCCGACCACGACGGACACGATGATCGTCGTCTTGTCCATTTTGATCGCAACTACGGTCGTTCCTGCCCCGGCGGCTACCGTATTTTGCCCCATGTCGATCGATCGATCGCGAGATATCCGTCTTCTAGGCAGATATTGAGAAACGGATCAGTGGCGTTGTGCCCGTACGATGGTACGTCTGTTTATATAGAGGGCTGGCGAGCTCGATCGGTCATCGGTCACACACTCACATGCTGATGCAGTTCGAATGATCGGCATGACGGCATAGGCAGGTTTACGCTACTGCCAACGAGAGGAGCTTAGAATAAAACGGCCTTGATGCAACAGGCCATGTTCGCCATAATTAATGCCTTCGTGGATGTTCCATTCTGTAACATGCTTGCAAGTTGGTGGGGATTCATGTAGTACATTAGATCGAGAACAGTCAATTTACAACTTAGATGTAGATGCATTTATCTATTACTACATGCTATATAAATGGTTATACATTTAATAATAATAATAATAATAATAATAATAATAATAATAATAATAATAATAATAATAATAATGTTATGTATTGCTTCATAAAAATTCAAGAAAAAAGTCCTGTTTATTCCCTAGAACTATTTCATGGGTTCATTTTACCCTAAACATCTTATTTTCATTTTATACCCTGAACTATTGAAAATAGAACACGTTACTCCTAAAAGGTGTTTCTCTCTTTTCTTTTCTCTCTATGTAAGTTGAATTTTGCAACGAAATTTAGTAGAATTGATAGATGCATTATAACTTACCTATCAGCATTTTTAAGAATTCTTTTATCACTGTTTAAGTATTGAGACTGATTTAAATATCGAGGTTTTAAATTTCAAGCAAATACTCATGAAATTTTTTTAAATTATTTTTGAACTTTGATAATGTTTCCATCTATGGCTCTACTAAATTTCAGTTTAAAATGCAACTCATATAAAGAGAAACAAAGAAAAAAATGCTATTAAGTAGTAAAAAATAGTTTAGACAGTTAATTAAGTGAACCAATGGAATAGTATGCGAGAGTAAAATGGATATTTTTTTCAAAAATCAATAATAAATCCAAGGATGTTTAGTTTGTAGTCGAAATTAGCCTTAGCAAGAAATTAGCCTTAGCAAGAGTTCATTTCAGCCTTTTGGAACAACTATTTACGTTTTCTGTTAGAACGTTCATAAACCGCTAAACGATATGTTTCCTACAAATAAATATATATTTTCAAATTTATGATAATTAGTACTCTATTAATTACATGCTAATGACTTGTCTCATTTTACGTGTGGCCGAAAATTTCAGCCTAAACACTGAGTACGCAATAAACTAGCATGCCTCCACTATCATTACCTCTATCATATTTTGGTAACTCCATAAACTTCTTTTAAAATTAAATCCAAAATTTGGCAAAGCTTCAAACAAAAACTACCTTAGCATCTTCCCTTGTAAAGATTTGGTTATGTTAAAATTTAGCATCATCAAAATTTGACAAGGTTAATTTCTATACGGAAAACCAACAGAGATAATCTCTAAATCCAAAAATCTCATAACAATAAACACAAACTAGGAAATAGCACAGATCGATCTCAATTATTGAACTTGTCCTAAGGACCAGGTCAACAATAAACACAACCTCTTGGTAGTAGGAAATTACCCCGGAATGATCAGCTGATGAAAGTCCACCATGATAAGGTCAACTAGTCGACTACGACTGTTAATTACGCGGATCGAGTAATTTACCATTGGCTTCGGTGATACATAAAGGGCTGCCTTTGTCGTCCTGGAGGTCAATGTGCGAATTACCCATTGTGTGGAGATACACGTACTTGCCATGGATAAATCTAGTACTTGCTGAGCTACTACTTCATTGCGTCGACCAACAAATCATCCACTTATTCATAGGGTGCATTTATTAGTCAGGGAGAATTTTTTTTTTAAAAAAAATGGACTAGCTAAAAAACTGTGGTTGCATTCTCTTAAGTTGGTTCCATTGTCCTCCACGGTATGTCCTATCTGACGCACGGAGATGTTAGGTCGGGATGAAAGGGTATCTCAAGCGAACACAAAACACATCGAGTTGATATCCAAGAGAATCAAAAATTTGTCACCGGCTGACAATCCCAACGAGCTAGATCCCCTCTCGTCAGGTTAGTAGAATGGGTTTTAGAGTTAGCTAGGATTTTCTTTTACTCCCCCACTTTTCACATGGCGTATCCCGTATCAATAAATATAAATAGAACGTACATAGTGCTATTAATCAGGTCTAAGGTAAAAAAATATATATAGCTGTATAAGATTTCTTATTTAGCTCTCTCTAGCTACATATTTATTTTGTACTCCCTCCGTCCCATAATATAAGAGATTTTGACTTTTTGCTTGCACTCTTTGACCACTCGTCTTATTTAAAAGATTTGTGCAAATATAAAAGACGAAAAGTTGTGCTTAAAGTACTTTAGATAATAAAGTAAGTCACAAATAAAATAAAGAGTAAATTACACTTTGGTCCACCTTTTATTACCCAAGTTTCACTTTGGACCACCCTTAAATCTATCTTTTCAATTTGGACCGGATAAATTTACAATTGTTGCGGTTTGGACTACCATAAACAACTCTTCTTGTCATGTCTAACTTCCCTTAAGACAAACATATGAACCATAAATAGAGAAGTTCGCCCGGCCCGTATACTAGAGTTGATGTGTTTAAGGCCGTTGATTGTACTGAAAAATAATCGTTCGTGGTGATCCAAATCGTAAAAATGGCAAATTTGTCCGGTTCAAAGTGAAAAGATATATTTAACGGTGGTCCAAAGTAAAACTTAGGTAATAAAATGTAGCCTAAAGCGTAATTCACTCTAAAATAAATAATAATTCCAAAATTTTTTGAATAAGACGAATGGTCAAACTGTGCAAGCAAAAAGTTAAAATTCCTTATATTATGGGACGGAGGGAGTATCTCATATTGGCTGAATTTCTTATAGATGAATACTATAATTGGAACTTTCTTCATGACAAACGCCCTACAACTGCTGCACAAACCCTTTGTAGCCCCGGTTTGCAACCCCCTTTAGTCCCGGGTAGCAAATTGAGGCTACGAATCTGGAACTAAAAATTGCTATCTTTAGTCCCAATTTAAATACCGGGGACTAAAGGTCAATCTTTAGTCCCGGTTGGTAATATCAATCAGGACTAAAGATGGCTAAGCCACGTGCCCAGCTCCGCCATCTTTAGTCCCGATTGGTACCAACCGAGACTAAAGATTTTTTTTTCTTTTCCTTTTCCATTGTTCTCTTTCTGCTTGAATATTGATTTCAAAATGAACTAAAGAATAAAATCATCCTCATTTACAAAATCATCCACATTCACATCACAAAATCATCAACAAATTTACAACACAAAATCATTCACAAAAATATCTAAAAATCATCCCCAAATTTACAACACAAAATCAACACATATATTTCCAACACAAAATCCTTCGTGACAGCCACGCCCCGCCGCCCTCCGCAACCTCGGTCACCGCCCTCTCCAGCCCTGGCCACGCTTTCGCCCGCAGCCTCGGCCGCCGCCCTCCGCGACAGCTGCGTCGGGCGCTGCCGCCGGCCACCACATCCCACAGAGTTGAGGGTGCCGCAGCCCGCGACCCACTGCCCGCTGCCGCCTGCCGCAACCCGCCGCCCACCAGCCGCAGCATCGGAGAGGGCAGGGGAAGAACCAATGCTAGCAGAACAAATGAGGGGAAAGTAATGTGCAATTTTTCTTCTGTAGAGCAGAGGAGTGCAATTAGGCAGGTTCCACCAATCCAAAATCTTGCCCTAATCTGAAGTAGTGGTGAGCCCTGAGATTGGGCAAACTGGTCATCATGGAACCTGAAAGCAACAATAGGGAGGGGGGAGCAGCAGGAGACGGCACATTTGTGAATTCTCAAAAGTTCCGGTTTAGGAACCGGTACCTTTAAGATTCTCGGGATGAAAAAAAAATCTGCTCGATGTATCGGCTCGAATCGACCCCGATTCGCCCCCAAAATCAACCACAACGAACTCTCAACAGTCAAAATTGCCATCACATATTAGTCATTATCACAAAATCACAAAAGGAACCGACACCACAGAACAACAACAACAACATCTAAAAACAGACGAAAGAAGAACTTCCAAGCACTTCTCTGCTCCCGCCACTGCTGGATCCACCACGGGAGGAGCCACTGCCGCCGGATCAGCCTATGGGAGAGCCGTTGCTGCCGACGCCGCCATCACCGGGTCCACCGCGGGAGGGAGGTGAGAGGTGGTGGAGGGAGCCGCCACCTGTGAAGGGAGACAAGAGGGGACGGAGGGAGAGGGAGGGGGAAGAGGGCCGCCGGATCCGCCAAGGGACGCCGAGGTGAGTGAGTACGCCGCGAGGGAGGCGAGATGGGGCGGAGGGAGAGGAGAAGGGGGCGGCGAGAGAGAGAGAGATTGGAAGGTGGGTACGAGAATGGATAAGGACGCAAGTGATATATGGGTGTCGATCGGTCGCTCAGCTCGGGTCGGTTTTCTTTGTCAATATTTTAAAAACTTCATTAAAAAATCGGCATTTATAGTATTGGTGTCGATTTTTCTTTAAAACCAACACCTATAGTTTCTAAAAGGTGCCGGTTCTATAATTTTTTGCACCTCGCAGGGACGGGAAAGCGGTTTTAACTATTTCGGTATATAAAGTGTCGACCTCTATGTGTTTTTCTATAGTAGTGAATAAGTCACACCACGCTATGCTACCCACAGTCACAATCGTTAATTAAACATTCGATAGTATCACTCCAACAGAAGACATTGACACAACTTGTGCTCTTTTAGCATGAAATTCGTAAATATTATATATGGACGCACTCTCTAGCCTTTTATTGGAGACATATAGCCAACTATAATATGTGTTAAATACTCATAGCTAGTCAAATCATTGGACAAATTAAGCCATCTCTTTCTATAATGCGATTATGTATATGATGAGCATGTAGATGGTTGCAAGCTGTAGGACGTAGATCGGTTAGCTTGGACAACCATAATGTTATTAATTAAGCATGATTCTTTAATTAGAACTATGTGCCTTACACGTGGCAATGGAACTGTGATATCACTATAGTATACTCTTTACAGATTTTTCTGGATACTTTGATCAGTTCCTAAGTCATAACTATCTCGCTTATATTAGTTGATGCTGTGTGTAGGAAGGCATAGACAAAACAAAGTGTCATCAAGTGGCCCAATTAATACATTAATAATTGCAATTACAGTTCGGTATTTTGTGCTTGACCCTGTGGTGTAGACTTGGATCTGTCTATTTGTCTAATAGACTAATTTGGGCAAATATAACAAACCTACATCAACATGCTATAAGAATTGCAACGTTAAATTTCTAATGGGTGGATGATAGAGAATTGTAGGCTACTACTGTAGCCAGACTGCAACACTCCTCCCAAGACCAAAAATTGAGGCCAATTACTTTCTGGCCAACGACATTTTACCATATTTGTCTAGAGACGAGAGAATTATATATTATAACCTGCCTAATGTATAATTTAACTACTATCACTGACGACTATAGATGATGGTACAATTTTTATAGCTAACTATTGTATATATTATTCACCTTGCTCTAATAGGGGATATGGAAAAAAAAAGTCATCAAGATAAGGGGTGTGGCATGAGAGTTTGGATGTATATAAATATATACTCCCTCCGTCTAAAAAAAATCAACCTAAGAAGGGATGTGACCACTCTTATATTGATTTTTTTTTGGTACGGAGAGAGTAAGTGTTACTAAAGGAGGCACTAGAGTACAACATGCATAGTGGTGTGTTTCTTCTGTGCAACTTAAAAACAAAAACAGATTTGCTAGATAACCTTTGACAGTTTTTTCCTCCCAAAATTTTCAATTTGTAGTCCATCAAATTGCATGGAGATTCATGCAAGGGGTGGGGAAGAATTTTTTGCGCCATGCGCAACCTGCCACTTCATGCGAGGGGCGCGTGGGGGCTAGCCAACCAACCAGATGTGGTTTCTCTAGTTGATTTTATACTTAGTTACATATTAGTTATAACACAATTACTATAGAGTTACAATGTAATTACATTTAGCAACAAGGGAATGACCTTACAACACATACTACCTACTTTGTTGTCACGCGTTTGAAACTTCTTTCCATCTACTAGCGGATTATAGATATAAAAAATCTAGGGCATGCCTACAACTTAAATTGCATGCGAAACAACTAATACCAAGGTCATGGGAGGCGATGAACACGATCGAAAATGGCGGGGGGCAATTGCCACACGAAAAGGGCTACCCAAACTTGGGACGTGATCTTTTATGCTACTAACGTCCTGGGAGATTTGAAAAGAAACAAACTAACAAGTTCTCCACCACAGAGAGCTCCCAACGGCTTCTTGTTGCTAAGATAAAGGAGGAAGGGAAAACTTAGACGCGAGTGGAAGGGAAAAGACCCTCAAAAATGTTACCCTAATTCCTTCAAAACACTTTTAAGTCATTTTTCTTTTCCAGACTCCTTTGTGACTTTTACTCCTACTCTATACAATGAAATTAGTATTGTCTTGTGCTAGCTGGTTCATTAAAAAAAAATAATTACAATTCAATTACACTATATACACTATAGCTAAATGTGAAAGTATTCCCATAAAAAACTTGCTGAACCATTTTAGGTAGTCCTTCAGAAAATCACAACCGTCCGTAGTTCTTGAATGCATAATTATTGATTATTTAAATTAAAATCAAGGGCCACTTTCCAAACATCAGAAAGCAAGCACGTGCATGCATCACACACACACACACACACACACACACACACATACACAGAAAAGCACAAATACAAACTTCACGAACAGTACACTAGCCGGCTAGTCCCTTGATTCTAAGCCAACACACGGGATGATCGCAGTGTGAAGTCAGTGTTACACCTCTGAACGCCCTCGAGGATTAGCCGGGAAGTGCTGCTGGTTAGACGCCTGCGATCCATAGCCTTGAGCAGCAGCAGGAGCAGGATCAGGAACAGCTGCATCAGCGAACCGCGCGTGCGGCAGCGCCTGGCTGGTAGCCGGATGAGCAAACTGCTGGTTCGGCGGCGCTTGAGCAGCAGGTACAGGCACCAGCAGAGGATTAGGCGACGACACTGGTGGCGGGAACCCGGCCGGGACCGCCGTCGGGACCCCGACGATCGGCGTGGGTTCATCGCCGCCCGCCGGACCTGGCGGTCGCCGCGCCGCCGGCGCCGCGGGCTCGTCCGGCTGTGCGCGGAGCATGAAGTAGGATGTCATCCCGAGGGCCGTGGTGATGAGGGTCAGCACGCCCGCGGAAGCAAAGAAGCCGCCCCTGACGAGGACGCAGTTGGACTCCACGATCGCGCCGTCCAGGAACAACACGAACGCGATCACCGCCGTTATCCTGCACGCACGTACGTACGTACGCAACCAGCGTACGTTCGTGAGTCGTGGCATCACAACACCGCGCGCAATCTGTCGATCAGAGCATGCACGTACGCGCGCGGGGCGCGACGACTCACCAGGAGAAGACGGCGCAGACGACGCCGACGATCCGCTTGGTCTCGGACGGGATGGCGCGGGACTTGCAGCACCCGCAGCAGCCGCCGATGGCAGCCACGGTGACCTGTGTTATCACCAGCAAGATGGCCCCGCAGACACCCAGCCCGACCGCTGCTGACGATGAGTTCGACGAGTAGTACAAGTCGTACAGGTCGAGTTCGCAACGCTGGAAATTAAACACATATATAATCACTAAGGCAGTAGTCATCAAGTTCAAAAAAAAAAAGCAGTAAACATATATATACCACTAGAGTCTAGATAATATGTAGCTAGTGTTAGCAAGAACTTGCCTTGGTGCGCTTCGCACCCTCGGCGGCGAATCCCAGGATGGCGCTGAGCAACCCAAGGGACCCAACCACCGCGGACACGATGATCGTCGTCTTGTCCATTTTAATCGCGAGGACGGCGGCCGGTTCTTCCAGGCCGGCGGCGGCGGGCGCTTCGATCTTAACCATATCGGACTCTTATTTCTCTTCGCGGCTGATACAAGATTGGCGTCTCGTGTTTATATATAGAGAGGTCTCACGAGAGCTCGGTTACACGCTGACACAGTTCAATGGGCACACGGTTTATGCTACGGCCAACAGGAGCAACTCGTAAAAACAGCGATGTGTGATATGGGCATGGTCAGCGTGATTTCTACATAACTCAATGGATCGTTTTTTATTCTACGTTTTATATATCTACCCTGCATTCTGACTTTTTATTAACTAGAAATGTAGCGCACGGGCACAAAGAGAACCCTGACCCCGGACACCCTAGGTCATGTGATGGCGTGCTCTCTCTCTCTTGACCTGATCTTCTAAGGAGATAACTTTTACTTTGATCGAGTATGACGTTTTCGACGTGGCTACTAACCAAAATAAGTATAGGACACCCATGCAATCGCTAAACCACAAACGATGGCATACCAATAACCATGACGTGCGGTTGATGATCTCTGCAATGCAAACGAGAGAACATTGCAAGAATAAAGTAGGATGCAATGGCATAAAAAAATAGTTGCGATTGAAGTGATAGATATAATCGATCACGCCAATCAACATATCAACTATTGGGGGCTCTGAATCTATAGTCGCCGAATAATTGAGCGAGGCCTAGAGGGAAGGTGAATGACACCTGGAAAAAATTCAACTAAACAAAACCCAATTGTTTTTTTAGGTTGTACAAATCTATTTATAGAGAAAAATAAAGTTAGAGATAGGTGCTAGTTCGTAGAGGTGGAGAGAGTCACTTCTTAGATGAGTTTACTCCATTACAAAGCCTAAGGCTCAAGGTCGGTTTCAGATACAATACTGTCTTGTTTTGACGTTTTCTATTAACTCGGAATGAATTTTGATATGAGACATGATGCGTTTGAAAGGTGACGAGATAAGCTTTCCAACAAACCCAAGATCATCCAAATCGGAGTTGACATGAAAATCAGCACTGCCTTCGGAGGCCGAACTGGAACTTATAGAGTTACATTCGTATCTGATGAAGTGATGTTCTCGTCATCATGGCCTCAGTATGGGGATGAAAGCCCATGCAGATATTTTTTTTTCACCATAATGTTGCTATTTTCTTTTATAAATTACTCCCTCTGTTTTGTTTTATGTTATAAATCGCTTTTATTTTTTCTAGTCAAACTTTTTTACGTTTGACTAAGTTTTTTAAAACAAATATATTTTCAATATAAAACAAATATATTGTCAAATATATTTGTTTATATTTAATTAAACAAATTTACTGTTATAAATATTACTAATTTGTCTAAACATTTGGTAAAACGTAAATAGATTTGACTAGAAAAAAAAATCACACTATCTAGAGTACAACATGAAACAGAGGGAATAATAGTGAACAAGTTTATTGCATTTACATATACTTCACATCAATAAGTTGTACGTCCTGGCATGAATCTGAAAAAATCGTGGAACTCCAATAAAACTCAAACTAATCTCCTTGCTTGAAAGGGTGAACAGTCCTCGGAAAAAAAATGGTGAACAGTAACGTTCGGTGCATAGATAAATGTCACGTACACAAATCATTGAAATCAAACCAATAAAAAAATAAGCAAAACAGGGCAGCACGTATGATCAAGGGCATTGCATTTGTCGCGTTAGGCCTTAATCGATTCAGTTCAACACCAGATGATGATAAATGCGTGCACGATGTTACAGCTACACGCCTACACCTGCGCATGACCTTGTGGATGAGGCGCGAGCTGCTGGTCGGGTGCTAATTGGTTGCCGTTTCCCTCAGCCGGAGCCGGAGCAGGAGCAGGAGCAGGGGAGTACGGTGGCGGTGGATAGTTCGGCAACGGCTCAGGCACCTGAGGGTTAGGAGGCATCGGCGGCCGGAATCCGTGGATGTCTATCGGCGTCCCGATCGGCGTGGGTTCGTCGTCGTCGTAATCCCGCGGGGCCGCCCGGTCTGCCGCCGCCTCGCCGGCCTGCGGATGCATACGGAGCATGATAAACGAGGTGATCCCGAGGCCCGTGGCGACGAGGACCAGCACGCCCGCGCCCGCGAACTCGCCGACCAGGCCGACGCACGCCACCGCCGCGCCGATTGATCCGTCCACGAACAACGCAAACGCGATCACCGCCGCCACCCTGCACGGAAGACGTAGCGAGAGGGTGTAAATAACGAGAAAGTATTTTCTACACCTAGGTGCCATGCATGTAATTTAAACAGTTATATAAAAAATTTATAAAATTCGATAAGATGAACTTTGATAATATAAGACAATATACAAACATGCAAGTCTAAATTCGATTGACATATGAAGAAACAAAAATAACAAATTTTATCTGCACTATACGGGTACTATTCACTGTCTGATTTTATTATTTTTATTTCTCTAGTTGTAGATCAAATTTAATCTTGCATGTTTGTCTATATACTTATATCATCACAATTGATATGTTACTAATTTTTTTAATTTTTTTCTATAACTATTTGTGTCTTATGTAAATAATGGGTGCCATGATATCTAGGTGTAGAAAATCTGCTAGTCTGCGATGATCTATCGTTTGTTGTACGTGCGCATGAATGCCGTGAGCTCATGATATCGTATCGATGAGAATGGTGATGAACTCACCATGAGATCGAGGCGCACACGACGCCGACGATCCGCTTGGTCTCGGACGGGACGGCACGGGACTTGCAGCACCCGCAGCAGCCGCCGACGGCCGCAACGGTGACCTGCGCCATCATCAGGAAGATGGTCGCTGCGATCGCCAACCCGAGCGACGATGCACAATCCTGCAAAGACACATAACAAAATGTCATTATGTTCGTTGATGATTAAGATCTACTCAGAAACAAGATCATCATCACAGTTCAACAAAAGAACAACAAGAAGCGAGAGAGAGAGAGAGAGAGAGAGAGAGAGAGAGAGAGATGATAAGATGAGTGCGTGCATGCATGCTTACAGTGAACTTTGCCGCCTCGGCAGCGAACCCCAGGATGGCGCTGAGCACGCCCAGGGAACCAACCACCGACGACACGATGATCGTCGTCTTGTCCATTTTAATCGCGACAACGATCGGTTCTTCACGCCCGGCGCTGGTGCCGGCGCCGGAGCCGGCGGCCGCCTTCGCTTTCTTCCCCATATCGGACTCTTGGTCTCTTCCCGGCTGAGACAATGTTGGCGTCGTGCGTGTATTTATGTACAGGTCTCGCGAGCTAGATCACAGACTCCGACGCAGTTCGAGTGGCACATATTTATGCCACACTACCAACGGGAATATACGGGAGGAGCTCGTAATATAATGGCACAACCATGCTGCACGATGCATAAACGTTGTTGTGGTTGTGTCCATGTTGGCGTAAGTAATTAATGTGTCCATGACTGGTTCATTAACTATTCCCTGTACATATGCAAGGTCTCGGGGGTTCACAGTTTGTTTAATTCCACCACACATATTTTGTTCCCCCTTTTAATTTCTACCAATTTTTTTTCTATTCTACAAAATTTGGTTCGATGGCTTCTTTAGGTCAGAGCCTCGCTTTCAAAATTATGTTCACTGACTGCATCAAAGTATCAAACCATGCATGCAATTAGTTCACTATTATGTTCCTTTTTTTTAATTGAAAATACTACCAGGGCTTTATTCAGTAGTTATATATTAAGAGCAGAAAGATATGCACAGAGAAAGAACAAAAAAAGAAAAACAAAGTCCTCAAAAATTACAAACCTTGTAACTAGCTAAGAATGGAAGTGCTAAGAGTATCCCTCATTTTTCAAACATGTAGAAGAATTTCATTCTTAAAAGCAACAAACCACCTATTAAAAATATGGTTGAATGTTGTCAAAATCATGGCCATTTCACTGCTTCCAAATGTGCCAACAAGCAAAGCGCATAATCTCCAAGAAACTTTTTATCCTTAAATGGTTTCTAGCCAACACCACCATTTGGCAAATTTCTAATTAGTATTCCACCTGATACCCAAACGCTCTCAGCACACCTCTTACTGAAAGGACAACTGAAAAACAAATTAAGCAAGGTTTCTCTTGGTCCTCCACTAATTCCATAGCACAAAACATCATCTTATGGGGCACAAATTATAAGTTGATTTTGATTTTTAAATTTGGCTAAGTTATAGAGCAATATAGCAATACTTTTAATACAAAACAAACATATTATCAAAATATATTCAATATCACATTTAACGAAACTTATTTGGTATTGTAAATGTTGCTAATTTTTTTATAAACTTGGTCAAACCTAAAAAGTTTGATTGAAAAAAGTCAAAGCGAAACAATGGAGTAAAAAGCAACATCACCAGGTGGTAAAATATAGAATATATGATCTGATATGAAATGAAAATTGCAAAACTTCTGAACAATGCGTTAACTATATAATTTAGTTTAATTATAAAGTCCACTACAAGAAAAACATACGCTATCTTATTAACTATTATCTATTAAGAATAGTCTAAATTACACACTTAAAGTTTTGCAACAATCCAAATTACTAACTTAACTCTAATACTAGATATTTTACACCCGAACTCATCAAACCGGAGAAATTAACCCTCCCTCACACCCCAAGAAAAAACTGGTTCTAGGCGGCGTAATGTGAGTGTCTTTTCTAAAGCTTGATTTTTCTTGTGTTGAATAGCTAAAATTACATAGCCACGATGTTTTAGGGGTGAAATTTGCCAAAGTTTAAACTGACGAGGAAAACGAACAATTCACTTACGTTATCATAGACTTTAGGTTAAACTATGTTTTTTTAGATAATTAGGTTAAACTATGTAGCGCCTGGTATGTACAACTTAGTAATATTTATAACTTATCCTCATTGTCAAACTTAAAAATATATACTACATGGACCAAGTCCAAAGTCACCCACGGCACTCACATGGCTCCCCATGATCACAAGCATTGTTAATTAATATCAGGATTGTGCATATGATCGAGTTGACCCAGTTTTCTGTTTCAAGCTTAATACATTCTGTTTGCTCTTGTTTTATATATACAGGGAAAGGAGTTTCTTTAGACACAGTTGCGCTGCAGCTGGCGCACATAGCTTCTGCTTCTTCTATCTAGTTGTCCTTTATAATTTTAAGACCGTGTACACATTTGACAATGCCCCCGTATTCTACTTGTTACGGCGCGCTTCTGATATACTCTGTTGTGTCAACGGCCACTATAATGGCCACCACCAACTAATTTTGGGAGAAAAAAACCCATTGGTAGCCAGATCATGCAGGCTGCGAGCCTCTCCGTTGCGTTGTACCTCGGCATTGACCAGAACTAGCCGTGTTAAGCTAAGGTCCATCGGGGCAGTAGATCGAGTCCATATCGCTGTTGCACCACGCATGGTTTGGAGAAAAAAAACTACTCTTTTAGCGACGACTTTGGATTTTGGAATAGGCTGACCCCCGCGCGCGTAGTAGTGGCCGCGCCGGCGGCAGTTCAGAGAAGCGCGCGGAGTGCCACGATTTTGCGCGGCTCATTTCGCCCGTGGCCGCGTGAAGACCCGACCGCCCGTGCGCCGCGAGCTATACGCGCGCGCGGGGGGAGGGCTCGAGAATCGAGATTGTGCCGTGCGCCAAAGAGGAGGTGCACCAGGCACCACCGCACCAGCGCAGCGCGACCGCGAGCGTCAGCTGGTCGTTTGTGAAAACTCGTTACTGACTATTGAGGCCCACCTTCTGAGGTCTGATTGGGCTAAAACTGTCTCCGGATTCTCTGGGGTAGTTCCGCCTTCCGTCCTCTTGGAGTCTTGGGCCGAAGGCACACCGCTGAATTATCACCAAAAAATGAATAGGTGAATGTCTAAAACTAAGAAATTTCAGAACTTCCCACACTATTAAAATTTTAAATCTTCATATGACTCTTACTCAAAATTATATTTGTATTTGGTGTAGCTGTGTGGGGCACATACTCGGTCCATAAGAACAACGCAACGTTAGACGCATGAATTTTATTTTATGGATATGGTCCAAAGAGATCGAAGGTTCTCGTTATCTTCTAGTTTCCATGGCTCGTCTCTCATTTTTATTTGACTTCTCAATGTGCCCCCACACTTATGATTCTATTGTTAGCTGACAGATCTAGCCATAAAGGGGCTCGCCCTCACCCATCCATTAGCTTCATCACGAATGCCTAGCCACGGTCATTGTCCCAGTCTCCATCCCCGACTATTTTCCATCCCTCTCCACTCTTGATGTGGTCCTGTAACCCTTAGCTCCTCCATGTCCATCTACCGTGTTTATCTAGCCATGTGGCACCACCACACCCTAGCTCCTCAACCTTATCTAGGTGTGGCAACAAGACAAGTCCGGGCTAAGTTGGGAAAGAGCACCCATGTGCCCGTCCCTGCCCCCTCAGCATAGATCGGGTGCAAAACAATTCCCGTCCTTGCCCTCACCGGATCCCCGCACCCCGGGTTAATGGCAGTGAGAGTAGCGCTAAGGATAGGCAGCCGGCAAACTACAACATCATCTTCTCCATAGATGACGAGACAAGCAGCACCAGACAAGAAAGGGCAAGTAGCCGACGAGCTATGGCGCCATTTCCGAAGAAGGGGAGGCAAACAACTGGGCAGAGATCGAGAAAGACTGGTGAAGTTGCAAGGACACAGGGCGACGCTGATCAGGGATGACGCCGCGACCTCCGCATGAACGCGGTGATGCAGGCGCAGACTACGTGACCTCCGCATGCAGGAAGAAGCGATACAGCCAAGGGCGGAGCTAGAGAAGAATGGAGGGGGGTGCACCACTATATAGTACAATGTATATATTTTAAAGCAATATTATAGTAAATTATAATGTTTTTTCGCGTTGTTATCATCAACGATAACAGTGGAGTGCACTAACAAAGAAGCATAGATAAAAACTGCACTAACCATAACCATTCGATCCGAAAAAAAAAGAGAGCTATTATCACGTAATTGAAAACTTATATCTCACGGTGAAGGAGCTCTTCCAATGAATTGATTGACTGGTAAAGAATTAGTAAAAAAGAACAAAAGATAGAGGAGGCAAGGAATTGCCTGTGCCCTATAGCCTAGTGGTTGCAGTGACGTGAGTAGCACACCAAGGTCCTGAGTTTAAATCTCCGTAGTAGCGAATTTCAGATTGGGTTATTTCAGAGTAAGTTCCTTATTTGATAGGCTAAATTCCTAATTTAGGCTCTATATATCCGGTTGGATATAAGACATATAAAGGTTGGGTAAAAAAAACCTTCTCTTCTAAAAAAAAGAATTGCCTATGCCCATCCTCGGTGACATCCTTTCATCTTGCTAAGGCATCGATTATTCATCCAGGATTAATTGTGACATTGGCGGCAAGAGGCGTTGGCGTTGGTAGGGAAAAAGAGGAAGAGCGAGTCGCCAGAAAGAAAAAAAAACGAGAAGAGGCGTGCGTGTGCGTACGTCCTCACGGTGATGCGGCAAGTAGGACTGAATTGGGCTCCTACTGAGGTTGTGGTTGTAGGCCGTTCGTGCTTCAATGGCCTGATTTCTAGCGTGGGGGTACACCAAACTTGGCTGAGGGGGATGCACATATGATTACGAAGGGGTATTAAGCACTAAATTTTCTTTTGCAACCGGGTGCCCAGGAACCCCCATAACACTACTTAGCTTCGCCACTGGATACAGCCTTGGTTGGTGGCTGGGTACCACAACCAGGAATGCAGTGATAGCTGAGGCCAACTTAAAAGAGGGAGGAATCGTGGAGACGTCTAAGGTTGAGTATGTAGATGACAATTATTTGATTTTTCTTGGTTGAAGTTTTGTGATTTTTAAGATAAAAGTTTTATGTTTTAATTGAAAGTTTTGTGATTTTGAGAATAAAGTTTTAGATCTCGAATAATTAGATGTTTTGTGATTTTTAGATGAAAGTTTAAATTTTTGGATTGAAGGTTATGTGATTTTAAGATGAAAGTTTGTGATTTTGAAATAAAAGTTTGAGGCACAAGTTAAAAGCTCAGAGCATTTTTTTTTTTGGATCAGAGTCCGAATTTCCCGCGGCACGTACGCAACTTAATATAATAGCGCATGCACTCGAATTAGGGGTGAACTCAAGATTGGAGTGAGCTCTTAGCTAGCCTGTTGAGTTGGGCTAGTATCTTAACAATACAAACTATTTTAAACTTCAAAAATGAATTAATATGATTTTTAAGGCAACTTTTATATAGAAAACTTTTGTAAAAAAAATACACCGTTTAGTAGTTCGGAAAGCGTGCGTGTGAAAAACGAAACAAACTATCTCACAATATCATGCTGCCGAACGCAGCAAAGAATACAGGGGCAGTGAAGTGGCCTTTTGGTCCTACACCTTGGGCCCTTGACCTATTTGGTTTGAGGTATGGTCTCATTATAATTTTATTAAAAATGCTGATGGTAACACATAGTAGCAGAGCTTGTGCGGTAATTTGGAGGTGGTCGATGTGTCAAAGTTTTCTTTTTGAACTAGTGGCTATTATACTTAGTTTGTTTAGCGGCAAAGTGAAATTCAGACCCCCAAAGTTGGAGTTCCACGATCAATGTAAGTCTCCATGCAGCTCCGTCGATTCAGCAATCTTTTGAGTGTCATTAATTATTATCATTTCGAGCAATTTATATTGTTTTTATATTGTCACACCAAAATATAAAAATGCACAATTACTAACTTGGAGGGATGAATAGGTTACATCATAATGATTTCGTTCCTACTAAAAAAATTTTAAAACGCTTCGCAAATTGGGACCTATCAGAGACGGACCGAGGCCTTGAGCCACCTAAGCCATGGCCATGGCCCGAGGCCTGAGAATAGAAGTCCACTATGAGTCTATGAAGTATAGATTTTCACCATCTATAGCTTGGCCCAAAAGTGTGTTGGGCTGACCCGCCTGCCTTACTTCAAATTATCAAACCTCTCCATTAGGATCCCTTTAATTTCTACGATATTATTCACAATCTTGTTTGCTTAGGGTGTGGACATGTGATTGCAGAGTAATTGATACATCAAGCAAAGTTCAAGATGGAAAATGATCGACTACTGGATTTCTACTACTACTGTTTATGTTTGACTCGACTAAGTCGATGGACCCGCAGTCGAGTATGAATCAGTAGTTCTCTAGCCGCATCCAGCTCGATTCAGATTGAACTCTCTGGTTTGACTTCACACGTAGGCTGTTCCGATTCATCCGCGGTTGACACCGTGCTAAACCTGCGAATGCCATTGAGGATGCGGCGGGAACTGCGGGTGGCCCATCGCGATCCCGGAGTGCAGCAGCGGCTGCCTCCAGGACGCGACCGCGCCCGCCGGTGCGTCGTCGTCGTCGTCGGGCAGCTGCCTGCGGAGCATGACGTAGGAGGCGACACCGAGCGCCGTGGCGGCGAGGGCCAGCACGGCCGCGGCCGCGAAGACGCCGTCCTTGAGGAAGTAGCACACCGGCGCGGTGTCCCTCGCCACGTTGGCGTTCCACGCCGCCCCCTCCACGAACAGCACTACGGCGATCACCGCCGCTATCCTGTACGCACGCACGCACGAACGCACGCGACACTTGTCGTGAGACCACACCGAGGTTGCGCATGAAAGCAGTCGTCGCTGCGTGCTTAATTTGCTCACCATGAGGCAACGGCGAAGACGATGCCGACGACCCGGTTGGTCTTGGAGGACGGGATGCCGCGGGGCTTGCCGTTGCCGCAGCAGCAGCCGCAGCCGCCGATGGCGGACACGGTGACCTGCGCCAGAAGCAGCAATACGGCGGCGCAGAGCCCCAGCCTTAGCGAGGGGTTCTGCGGGTACAGGCACTCGTCGCCGGAAACCCGCACGTCCGAAATCTGCAAAATCGATCGTTCAACTGTCAGTTGTTGGCCACGTATATGCGCCACGGCGCATCCATTCCAATGAAGCAAGAACGTACGCTTCAGGGGCCAGGAGAGAGATCGGCAATGTGCTTACAGTGATCTTTGTGCTCTCGGCGGCGAATCCCAGAATGGCGCTCAGCAACCCCAGGGACCCGACGACGGCGGAGACGACGATCACCGTCTTGTCCATTTTCCCGGAAATCCTTATCCTTCCCACCTCTCTGTCCGATCTTTATCCGTGGTGACAGATCAGATTTGTGTGAGCTTATATAGAGATAGACCAACTACACGGTTCGATCGGCACATGGTTGAAGTCAACGAACAGGATGAGGGACATGATGCATGTTCTGGGCATGTTCGGCGCGCCTCCGTTTCCAAATGTCCGTTTTTACCATGGGCATGTTAGCAGGGACTGGCAGTTGCATGCGTCTTTGTTTAAGGAATCAAGGTATTGCCATCGAGCTGCCAGGGTTTCTTCTCTTCTGGTTAGCAATCAGCAAAGAACATTTACAGCTGAACGTACGTGCAAGGTGCCATGTTCGTTGAGGCTAAATAATTAATATAATTGATATAGGTAGCTACTTTCTCTCCATCCCAAAATAGAATTGAGCATATTCTAGTGCTACGAATCTGGACATAGATCTTACTACTTTGAATTTGGATAGGAGTTTGTTCATGGTTACTCTTGTTCATATTCGTAATACTAGGATATGTTTGATCCTGTTCATATTTATAATACTAGGATGTGCTCGATCCGGTACTAGGTTGCAGTACTATATTTTCACTGGAGTAGTAATTTACTATTTGGATTAGACAACCAAATACTACGAATTTGAACCAGTATATGTTTAAATTTCATAATATTAAGCTATGTGTAATTCAGAAATAGTTTACAATATTTTGATTTTGAAATAGATGGAATATTAATTAAGATAGGTCGTGAATATGTCTGGCAGACTAGGAGATTTAATTTGACTCTCTTCTCGTTGGACATGCAGCTATCATAGCTCATGGGGGATAAACCACAGATCCTATTCCTGCCCCGCTGGCAGCTGATTGTTGTACATATGCAAGAGATGTTGGCTGTACGTTTGAAGGAATCCAAAGTCACCTCGCTGCACCACATGCCTGCACGATCACGAGCATTTGCAAATCACTTGCAAGAGCGTGTGAAGTGTGAACCGCGCATGATTTGACCAAGGTATTTTTACAAGCATAAGTGCATTTCTTTTTCGTATTATTTTCACAATGAGTAGGTAAGAGCATCTCCAACGAAAATGTCTATTTAACTCTCTAAGCTAAAATTTGACTAACACGAAAAAAAAAGAAATAGCTTCAATACACTCTCCATCCGGATAGCAAAACCACTCCTTTGGATGACTAAGGCTGAGTTTGAGAAAGGGGAGATAGAGAAGATTGGTAAGATACGCAAAACGAGGTGAGCCATTAGCACATGATTAATTGAGTATTAACTATTTTAAATTTTAAAAATAGACTAATATGATTTTTTAAAGCAAGTTTCCTATAGAAATTTTATACAAAAAAACGCACCGTCTAGTAGTTTGGGAAGCGTGCGCACGGAAAACAAGTCACAATCTCCTCAATCTCTCCCAAATCTCCTTTGAAAGAACGCAGCCTAAAGCTTCGTTCTAGCTGGTTCCAGCTCCCTCCGCCTCGTTTTCTGCACGCACACTTCCCAAACTGTTAAACGGTGTAGTTTTTTTAAAAAAAAAATTTTCTATACAAAAGTTACTTAAAAATCATATTGATCCATTTTTGAAAAAAAAATAGCTGTTGGACCACTCCGTTTTTCGTGCACATTGTTCGTGTTGGGAACAAAGGATAATGAACGCAGCCTAAATGTAGCTAGCCTCCTCCACTGGCTAAAGGTGGGTCCCACCACCTCTCCCATCCCTCCTTCCAATTCCTCCCCTTCCTGCTCTCTTCACAGGCTGCCCACCAACAAGCAGCGACACCGACAGTGGCAGTGACGGTGCTAATGGAGGAGTAAGGAGCAACGACGGAGCAAGTAGTGGCCTTGAGCATGATGGCCGTGGACGGATTGGAGGGGCCCATATGCCAATCGTTACGGCTATCGTCATCGTCGTCTATCGCCAGACCTCGTCAGGGTCGCCATCCGATGTTGTAGTTGTCGTCGCCAACGTCATATCTGCCCGGATGAAGAAGAAGAAGTTGGATGCGCTAGTAGCCGCTGTCGCGGTCGAGGATTCACTGCGCGAGCCGCTGCCATCACGGATTTGTCACACCAAACGGCGCCGCCGAACACTGGCTCCCCATCTCGCCACGAGCAGTAACCACCACCACCTCCTTATCTGTCGGGTGGGTGGGAAAAGGAAAGAGATGTGGTGTTAGAGAGAGGGGAAGAAGAAGGGTAGAGATTGACATGTGGGATCTAGTATCAGATTGGAGAAGGTAATAGAGAGGTTATTGGAGTGAAAGATAAATTTAAATCTTTAACTTTTTGACAAGCTGTCTAAATTGGTATTTGAAGAATGAAAAGTCGGATTTTGAGGTGCTGTTAAAGAGGCCCTAATTAAGGGATGATCGCTCGATCCTGCAAGCTGCAACTTGCAGGTGTGGTCTCAAACTCTCAACTCTCACTAAAAAAGTTGTTGGGTACTTGAGGTCCATCTAAGAGCAGGTCTAATAATATAGCCGGTAGTTGGCTGTAAAAATATACACATCGACTATTAGAGTTAACCACAAAGATAGATGTATACACTAGCTTGTTCATCATTTTTCTCTACACGACTGCCTATGCTTTCTTTATACTTTGATTTAATGATGCGTGTCATCAGCTTACTCAATTCCTAACCCATTCAGTCTTTGTAACGTGGGTCCACAGATAATCTTGCACCTTTGGTTCAATGCAAGCAGGTGATAGAGCATCGTTTATTGTGTTAGCGTTAGCGCTTAAATAAGCGCCCGCTTGGCTCTCTCTCCCCTCCTCTCTCTCTTCCACGGAAGATTTCAATGACGTGGATGATTTTGCCGCTAGCTGACTAGGCTTATTGTACTCGCTCTAATAACTGGCCCCAAATTTCGCCCGGGCTACCTGTCCCTGCACGGCCTCGCCCATCACTCCGCATGGGCCAAGGCCCACAGTCACTCCACCAGGCGACAGAGATTTCCCAGTTACAGACCTATCGATTCAGCTGTTCCCAATTCCCACTGCACTGCACCCAGCCATCCACGACCTGTTTATGCTTCGAAACTGAACGATCAAACGTCCAGCCATTCCCAATTTCCCATGGTGTGAAGTGGACGTACAGCGTCCGTGACAGGGACCTTCCGGCTGCATGCTCCCGGCTCCCCTGCCTCTAAGATCCTGCCTGCCTACTGCTACGTACGTATACGTTCGCATATTTGTTCAGTCGAACGGCATGCACGCGTCGCGCTCTGATCCCCTGCGGGTCGGCGTCGACTGGGACGGGGAGCACCTCCATCCATCTCCTCTCCTCTCCCCTGCTCTAATCGACCGGCCAAACGCCGATTTCAGTGTACATGCCCCCCATACATCGCACCGCATCGTCTCCACAGTTTGGCATTGTCACGCCGTGCGGTATACGTGTGGCCGACGCCACAGGTGCTGACAAACTTCCAACATGTGCGTGCATGATTTCAGTTTTTCTGCTCAGGGAGGCGCGAGTTCGAAGAAATTACGGTACGACAAACTATACTATACGCAGCATCAACCGTCATCAGGAGTACAATGCATGTAGTGGTGCGAAGAGAACAAATCCGATGATAAAACTAAATGCTAGAGAATTGGAAGAAACTCGATATCAAATAATTATAATATACAAAAACCACTATATGCAAGATAAAAGAACCGTGGTACATGTAACTTATCATGTGTACCATTTGATCAACGGGATAACACACCTGTATAATATAAAGTGCCACGAGATAGAACAAAACAATAAAATGTTCTACGCGTTCACAAGTGAATAGCCCACGGTTCACTTTCTTACTCTACTATTGTGACCGGATTCACTTTTTTCCTCTACTCAATTGGTCGGATCCACGGGAACTAGGCTTCCCATTCTGATGTCTAAGGTTGTATTCTATCCTAAAACATTGGAAGAAAAAATACATCGTCCTTCGCGCACACATTTTTTGAATTGCTAAATGGTACATTTTTTTTCACTAATTATATGCTAACGGTTTATCTCGTTTTGCGTAACTTTTTAATCTTCATTTTTCATTCTCTCAAGCACACCCGTTTTGCTTATATTCTCAATTTCCATTTTTCTCTTGTCTCAAAAACACCCTCAGTCATGGGTGCACTCGAAGCCTCTAGCCTCTCTATCCCGGTCCGGTCCTCCTCTCGCTTTTGTCTTGTCACCCCATGTCTACAGAATTGCTAGATAACTTCTCCAAGTTTTTTGCTCCAAAAACTTGCACATTTGTGACCATCGGATCACCTCTAGATTTACGCATGAAGAAAAAAATTGCTAGAAATAAATTTTCACGCATATCACGCTTAAGATCTCGGTGCTATCCAACCAAACCATAGTTGAATAGAAGTTTTATACAAATTATATCGTAAAAACAGTGTAGTTACGATGCAGTTATAGTGTAATTGCATTGTTATTACAATGTAATTACTCTTTCAGTTATACTACACTATATTTGAAAGTTTTTCATAAAAAAACTTACGGCAAAATTTTTAGATGCTCCCCACGTCTATTCTGGCCTCGTTACACATCATGTCCGCCAACCACATTGGAGTGTCGTGCCCAAAGGTAGAGGAGCTCCTGTGTCTGCATCGGACGTCCAGAGGGGATGGTTTCCCAAATGAAAATTCTAGAAATTCCAACGGAATACCATACTAATGTCTAAAAGTGTGCACGTCCTAGTTTCTAATGCAAATTCGTATCCAATATCCATAACCGAGTACGAACATAATCGTTAGGTGGGATCCAAATCGACCCATCAACATCCTACTAGTAATATACCCGTACTAACATTACGGCAATATTTGATATAATTCATCCTTCAACCAAAAGAAGATATTTGGTATTATTCATCCTTCAACCAACCAAAAGACGATAGAAGTATGTGCATAATAGTATTAGTATTGTTCTCTGAATCGCAGACTTTAGTTGCTAGGAAAAACAATAATGACATTATACTAAATATTTTTTTAAAAAAAATCATATGTTAATGCAATGCAAGAACTCTATACTTGTTGTGAGCTCTTCTTTGTACTCACAGTTCCTTTTCAGAAGTTCTCCCTTGCAATGCTCTTGCAATCCTAGATTTTTTCAACTCTAAGGTAGCCTAAGCATAAAAAAGATTGCAATTATCCTCTTTAAACAACTAAAATATCATTTGTGGTGCTACAAGAAGCTTACAAATTGACTACAACAAACTGTGCTGTTGCATCCTATGTATCCTTACCTTGCCAATTTATTTTCGTAGAGAAGAACCTGTTCTTGAACTGTACTGTGTCCAATTCATACTTTTGGTTACATGGAATTGTTGCACTCCCTGCAGTAAGAACTCAGGTCCATATTAAGGCTAAAAGATAAGTACAAATATCCCACCATCCCTATAGGTTGCCTCCTCTTGCAAAGATGGGAAAAAAAACTATTACCAGCTTATTGCAGTGCTTCAATTATCCCATTGCAATGCCATAGTACTAACTATGCCATCCGTCAGAACTTCAGAAAAAAAAGCTGAGAACTTGCTGTCTTCTCAAAACGAGAAACTAAGAATAAAACCCTCCCATCAGTAATAAACTATTTTATGTGAAAGTAACAATACTTCATGTAAAACTTTTGTTTGTTGAGAAAACCAGTAACGAGAAATAGAATCATCCTATCAGTAAATATAAACCGGTAAAATATGAGACACATGATTCAGTGAATTTACAGCCTACTCTTTGCAATACAAACTGCACCTGGCTATTCAGATAACATGGTTCAGTGTTTTATTGTATAGCATACTAAATGGAATCATACATCAATGAGGAAAGCAAGAAGAGGAACCTACCAACCTTGTGGACAACAGTGTCACTGAGGAAAAACTTCTCGGTGAATCAAATCTGCCAATGCTTACAACCATTGCCGATCCTCTAGAGTCATGAAATCCCTATCACCTATCACCAGATTAAATGATTTGTCACTGGACCCATATGTCATAGACACAAGAGAGACCACATATCATAGACATCGAGTGGCAAAACCTTAATTGCCACATTATAAATATAAAAAATCAACTGCATCAGAGCATGCATCTCTGCTTACATATAGTGCTATCTGTCTAGATCAGGTATTGGTAGAGTAATCATACACCAGCTTTTTGTTCACTCCTTTGCTTACATAGGAAACGAACATTAGAAATCCCATATATGTACGACGGATGGTATCATTTCACTTCAACAGTGGCAGCGTATGTCTAACATTAAAAGTTTCCTTTATCTCCCAGCAATATATCAAAAGAAGAAAAGTCAGAGAAAGTTATGAGTATCATCTTGCTGTGAGGCATTGTCACGAGCATCTCGTATGCAGCGGTCCTTCTCGTCGTGCTGCACTCCTGCATCCCTAATAAACCTGGAAGAAAACAGGAGTTACCTCATGGACTGCTGCAGAAAGATCAGGTTCATTCAGGAGCTGAAGTCGACACTCCAATCGATAAGAAATAGACTTCGAATCAGCTCGCAGGATCTCCATTACCTCCTGACCATGGCTGATCCAATACCTTACCTGCCCGTTTATCTCCATGAACTCCAAGAGAGGAATCAAAACATCAGTGTTCAAAGAAACAAAGAGTCAGAAAGCAACGGTTGATCAGCTAAAAAACTTGTTAACTTTTATGAATTAGAATTTGTTGAACAAGAGATCTTAAGAAACTGAAAAAAAAACACTGCAATATATCTGTAGCAGGACGAGGATCACGCAGTGCCGTCTCCCCCTGCACTGGTTGGCTACTGTTGCCGTCGTCGTCGCTGCTGCGCTCTGGCGGCAGGGGATCAACAACGGCGCTTGAGACGACGATGATCTTCGTGGCGGAGAATGCGACGGCGCCTGATGGTGGAGAAGGGGATGTGATCTTCACTGTTTGGAGGAACGTCGATGGCGCACGGCAGGGAGTGCTGGGCGCGCGGATGAGCGCAGATTGGTAGGTGAAGGGAAATGGAAAGGGGAGGAGATCGCGCAGATTGGCGTGGAAGGAAAGATCGCGTCCGCACGGAAGGAAAGGGAAAAGATCACGCGATTCCTTCGCCCGGGTTATCCCTACGCCGCAGCGATCATTTGATTTGGCCGGATGATTTTCGTCCGTCGGATTTGATGAATGAGTAATGTAGGTGTAAGAGTGAGTTGGTGAATTATGGGTAAAAGATTCGTAGAACCAAGCCACCCTAGTTTTAGGAGAAAATATAAAATCTTGACCACCTTATTGTCAAAAAAAGCTAATGAGCGAATCGCTCGTGCTCACCACGCAAGATTAGATTTAAAGTTCCTTTTTTGGCACAACAAACTACATACGGGATTGTTTAGTTTCTCTTTTTGGCAAATACGAGCAACAATTTGATTAATCACAGGCTCTCACTTATTTTTTCTAGTTAGTGTTTTCTCTTTTTGCTTGCATGTTTTCCACGGAAGGCCCATCGAGCAGGCATGCCATGCATGTGGTTTGCCCCAGGTCCATCTGGATGTTTTATTTTTATTTGTTTTAATTTTATCTGCATAAATTTTGGTACGAAGATATTCCTATGTAAAGTTTCCATCTATAAAGTTTCTATATATAAAGTTTGAATGTATAAAGTCTCTCTCTATATATATTTTCTGGGCAAAACAACAGTACTATTTATGCCGAAAATGTGAATTTTGAATGGCCGGGAAAAAGTCTTGTGCTCGCCCCCGCGTCGCCCACGCGTGGGCGAATCGGGGGGAAACCCTAGCGCCTCCGTCGCCACTCTCTCCTCCTCTCCCTCCCCTCGCCGCCGCCGGAGCGCGCCGCCGGAGAACCGCGTGGCCAGCCAGGATGGCGGCGGCGAGGCCAACCCCCGACGGCGCCCCATCTCCACGCGTGGATGGCGGGCCGGCGCGCGGTGCAAGGCTGACGACGCGGCGTGGAGACGGTGGATCCGACGCCGCCGCGGCCGGATCCGGCCTCCCCGCGGTTGGATCCGGCGGATCCACGCCGGATCTGGCCGGCGGCGGCGGCTGGCGGCTGGCGGCCGCCGGCAAAGGAGGCCGACGCGTGCCGAGGACGCGGTGGCGACGGCGAGGCCACGGTGGCGGAGGCGGTGGAGGATGGCGCGGGGAGACGCGGCTGGAGGCTGACGTGTGCGGAGGCCGCGAACGGCGATGCGACTGGAGGCTGCGGAGGCCGGCGTGCGTGGAGGCCGCGGTGGCGACCGCAGCGAAGGCTCGGCCGACAACGGCGGAGGGCGACGTGGCACAGCTCCCGACAGGGGACGGCTGCACGGCGCGACGGATCGGCGGTGGTGAAGGCCGTCGGCGGTGGTGACGGTGAGGCGATGGCTGCGGTGAGGAAGATGGAGGCGACGGCGATGCGACCAAGCACCCGTTGACACGGGCGGTCTGGTCGAGGCGGCAACGACGGTCATGCTGTGAGGGTGGGTGTTCAAGCCTGTGGCAAGCTTCCTTCCAGGCGTCTGCCCTCTTACGGTGGCGGCTTGCCGCCGAAAGATGGCCACAGTGGACGAGCGAGTGCGGGGGAGAGGGGATCCATTCTTCTCTCTCACCCTCTCCCTCTCCAACCCAACCACGTGGATGGATGTGAAGCGCGGTGAAGGTTAGGACTCTTCTTCGATGGCTAGCCGGCGGCGAGGCGTCGGCGCGGTGGCTGCGCGTCGAAGGGGATTAGATGGTGGTTCTGCTGAACTGGCATGCACTTTTTAACGCGGGAGAGTAGAACAACGGGCGAAAGCCTAGCCTTCGGGCCGGCAACGGCGACGCCTGCGGGCGCCGTTTTCCCCTTGGGGTGTTGCCGTGTTTTCTATTTTCCCAGTGGGTTCTTCAGGTGAAAACCTTGTCCTGGTTACCTAGGACGAACGGCGGCGGCGCTTTTGGCGTCGTTTTCCTTCTTGGAGACGTCGTTTAGAAGTCATATTCCTTTGAGAGTGTTGTGTGCTTGTTTTGTTTTAAACAATAGGATCAGACGTATAAGCGTGGTGTGGTTGTTTATTTTCTTTTTCCTGACTATAGTCTCCCAGGACTATAGGCTTGTATTTTATTCCTTCTTTATCAATAGAAACATCATACTATCTTATGCGGGTTGTTTCAAAAAAAATGGCCGGGAAAACAAAATAAGGCTTTGCAGACAATTTTTTTTCTAAACCACAAGATAGTGTTCATTGAAGAAAACAAATGTGGGCTAAGAAAATGCCTGAGAAATAAAAATAGGCTAATATATGGGTTGTTAAATAGGAATGTCCAAACTGAAGTCCAACAAACACGCATCCGCACATGGGGTTGTAGGATCGTGTGATCGCGCGGGACGTTGGACTAGCGATCGATCGTGCAGTAGACTTATTACCCCTCTATTGCCCCTATTTATGTACTGTACATACTTGCATACAGTAGCAGTTTCGGAAGCATCTGCTGTGTACTCGTCGTGCCACAGAACCGGTCGTCGGCGTCTTTCTTCCTATACACGCCAATGGCAGTGACAGTGGCCCCCACACGCAGTGCGCCAGTGCCTATATATAAGGCACACAGGCTCCTGGCACGCCGCGCCATGCACCGCAAAGCGACACACGCGACACGCCGCCTCCACCTGTATCCCTCAATCACCGATTCGTCGATCTCCCCTCCTCCTCCTCCTCCTCCTCTCCCCGGCGGCGGTGGCGGTGGCCTCCCCCAGCGTGAGAGACAGATCAGAGTGCTCAGCTCCCCACTAGGTAGGTGCGGGTGTGTTGCCGCGTGCGCCGGCCGGCATGGACACGTACGAGGAGGTGCGGAGCATCGGGTCAGGCAACTTCGGGGTGACACGGCTGATGTGCAACCGCGACACCGGGGAGCTCGTCGCCGTCAAGACCATCCCACGCGGCAATCACCGGGTCCGAGTCCTTCTACCCTCTTCACTAGCGTAATAGGGTTTTGGGGTTGTAGGCTGGGGTTTGGTGGGTCTTGCTCGTGTGGATCCGGTGGCCAACATTTGGTTGTTCTGATGGGGCTTTGGATTGGTTTTTGCGCAGATTAACAAGAGCGCGTACCGGGAGATCATCAACCACCGTTCGCTGCGGCACCCAAACATCATCCAGTTCATAGAGGTGTGTATCTATTGTTGTCTTGTTGATGAGGAGCAAACATTTTTGGTTTAGAAAAAATAGGAGCAGATAGTCAGGGATTGTTCACTCATTGTTTTGTCCGTCTGGGTTAATTGTCTGCTATGCCATGATTTACTAGTTTCTTGAGCATGAATATTGAATGGGTAAGGATTCGATTTTGTATTTTTTTTCCTCCCTAGTTTGATGGGTTTTGGTGATGTGTTTTCTATTTGAAGGTGACAATTGTGGAATGTACCATGTTTCTTCTTCATTCTAATCACTTTATGGTTTAATCTCGGTTTTATGGGTGCATTTAAGTTTGATCTCCTTTTGATCTTACTCCTTTCTCTCATAATCCCATGCCGTGTGGAACAAAATAAACAATGCTTTGTTTTCAATTTGCACAGGCGATCCTAACTCATACACATCTTGCAATCGTGATGGAGTATGCATCTGGTGGAGAACTCTTTGATCGGATTGTCGATCTTGAGCGATTTAGTGAGGATGAGGTCACAATATATAATCTCTGGTTTTGATTTCAATAATATTTTTTAAAGTTTTATGCTTCTAAAGTTTGTTTCTTCTACTCAATGCAGGCCAGATATTTCTTCCAGCAATTGATTTGGGGTGTAAGCTATTGCCATCACATGGTATGGATAAACAATAAATTGGTCTTATCTTATCAGCACATTCAATAATCTAATGTTCCATGTTGCTCTGTAGTATGTGTAGTAGAAACTGCTAGTATGTTTTCTCAAATAACGTGAGTGGGACCTGAAAAAATGCTTAAATATTGCAACCATCTTCGCTACTTTCTAGAAAATATGCCATAGAGATTTGAAGCTGGAGAATGTTCTCTTGGATGGCAGCGCAGCTCCGCGCCTGAAGATATGTGATTTTGGGTACTCCAAGGTTGTCTCCAATTATTCAGAGTTTGCTCATGCTTTTAGTTCTTTTTTAGTTTGAACAGGAATAATTGTTTGCCATTTCTAACAGTCATCAATGTTGCATTCAAGGCCCAAATCAGCAGTTGGGACTCCGGCATATATTGCACCAGAGATACTAAACCTCCAGGAGTATGATGGGAAGGTGAGTTAAATAGCTTCTTGTTTACCTATGATATGTACTTTGATGTTTCTTTGGTAACATTTATCAGAAGCACGTCATTTATCTTGGTTCCATATATGGCTTATTTTCTTATTTTCCTTTCATTATGGCATGCATATTAATACTTTCCATGTCAGCAAAAACCTGGAACTGGAAGTACAAGTTGATTATTTAGATATAGAATTATTACTTTCTAAGCACTTTGGCATTGCCTAATTAACCTAGACTATTGCACAGATATGGTTTGATGTACCAAGAACCATCACATTAGCAAGCCATATGCGAATAATGGTATACGTTCATGTGCTTTCATCACAAGAATAGTTTTGACTTACAGAGTATGATATCGTTTCTAGTTTCAACACAGTTACTATTGATTGAATCATGGTACTAGTTACACTAACTAAAATTGACAAATTGTGGATGACCTTGTCATTGTTTTTTTTCCCTTTGAGATAGGTTTAGTTCCTGTGTGTATAGCATGTTAGATTCTTCTTGAAGATGATTTTGGAGTAATGTTGTAAACAAGAGAGAAGTTCAACCAGCGTTAGTGTGCTATACTCTACTATGATCTCTTAATTCATAGTACAGTTACACAGTTTTGGAAAGATAAGCACTGCAGGGCTGAAATGAACTTTTAGTAATGATTTAACTGATTGGTTGCATACTTTGTTATCACCAATTGAAAACTCAGATAGAAGATATATCTCTTACTTTACAATGGTACTCCTGTGTCACACCCTGAATTTCTTTTCCCAAGCCTAAATTGAATTTATAAATCGCCTAGAGAAAATATCAGTGTAAAAGCAAGAGAGAAACCCTAATAAATTAATGCAAATAATAATCAGAATTGGCATGTGGAATTTTTCTTGAGTTCTACATGTCGAAATATGCTAACAAGATTTTTAGTGGAATTTTCAAAGCTCTAGAAATAATTTTAACCAATTAAAAACGAGCACAAGCAGTATTTAATCCCAGGAAAATTCATTTCCTTCTTTTTTTTTTCTTTTTCCTTTTTCCCTCCTTTTCCCAATGGGCCGCCAGCCCATATTCCTCCCCCTCCCCGCTGGGCCGGCCGAAGGCCACGGCCCAGCCGGCCGCCCGAGCCCCCCTCCTCTCTCCCAGGGTCACCGACAAGTGGGGCCCACCTGTCGGGTCCTCCCCCAACCTCCAGTCGCCGCCGCGCATCCCGCAACCACCGCCGCCCCCTCGCTCCCGTGCCTCCCGGGCAACGTTGCCCACATCGCCGCCCGCGCCCGCCTTCCCCGCGCCCACTCCCTCTCTTTCCCGCCCGCGCCCGCGCTCGAGACGTCCAGGATTCAATTTTTGAATCCCGCCTCTCTCTCCTCTCCCCCTCTCCCCACTCCACCGGCGAAATCGCGGCCATCCCGGCCACGATCAACCCTTGCGAGCCTATATAAAGCACCCCCGCTCTCCCCTCTCTCTTTTTCTCCATTTCGCCGAGCTCTCATGTGCCCTCTATCGCCCTAGCGCCGTCGCCCTCCTCTCCACCGCTGTCGCCGCCGCTCCGGTAGCCGCTAGCCGCCGCGCCGAGCCGTGCCGTTGCCGCCGTCGGGTTCGCAAGCCCAAGGGCCACGCCGTCTGCCTCTCCGCCACCGCTTTCCGCCGCGGGAACCCCGTTCGCACCGCGCGCCGGTGAGCTCCGCCATGGCTGCCGCCTTCGGCCGGCGTCCTCGCCCTCTTCCATCTTCCTCTCTCTCTCTCTCTCTCTAACCCCTTTCTTCGTGTTCGCTAGGTGGTTCCGGAGCTCGTCCCGTCGTCGCCATCGCCCTCCGTCGCTCGCCATCGTCAATCGTCGTCGGTGAGGCCCCTCCTCCTCTTCCTCTCTCTCTCTCTCTCTCTCACCGCTTAGCCGCCGCTGTCGCCGTCCGCGTCGCCACGACACCGCCGCCAGCTGATCGCCGCCTT